CATAAAAATTCAAAACTTTTTACTCTTTTTTTACTCTTATAACAGCCTAGTAAAGATTTTCAATAAGAAGCATAATCTCATTTTAGATTGGTGATGTCTCTATGCAATATTAATAGTAATGGTTTCCTAAAACCACACCACAACGGGCACAAACAGCTAATGCCAAATTGTTTGGATCTATGATGACCAGATACAGATACAGACAAAGACATGGATACAGGGAATGTGGATACAACTTTCTATTGCCTAAAATAATGGACAAGGCTATTAGTCATGGGTAAAGGCCATTACCCATTGTTGGTCCTGACAATCTGGGTTCATGGGAGGGACTGGATATGGTTATGGATATCCCATGTAATATGATAATATTATACTTTCATATCTTCTTTTTATTTGGAGAAGAGGTAAAGTATCGATTCATTAAAACAAAACCATGTACAACCAGCGGCAGTACAATGGGGAAGTACAAATTTCATTCAGACCACCATCCCGTTCGATATTACAAACAAATTTCCGAAGTCAAAAAGAAAACTAAAGAAAGAACTGTCAACAGTTAACTGTGCTGATGACCAAGAACACAGTTTCCCCACAATTTTCTGACACACTTCATCCTCTCAACACTTGACAGCCTTTGTTCTGAAATATCCTTGAGTTTCTTTCTTGCCATATTGACCAGATTACTGCACCTGGAATGAAGTACCACAAAATTTTCCCTTTCTTAAACCCTGTATCCACTATCCACCACCCTTTCACAAAAGCATCCACTGATCCTCACCCAAATGTTGTAGGCAAAACTACAATGCACTAATAGGTGCTCACCTGATTCTTCTACCCTGTTACATAACACACACCTAGTTTACTCAATCATCATTCCCCTCCTAATCAAGTTGTCTCTTGTATGAATCTTGTTCAGGTAGGCAACCAAAACAAAGAAAGCCACTTTCAGAGGAACATTATTGCACCATATTACATGCATAGGGAACTCCAGATCTTCTTGAATCAGTTTATTATAGAAAGATTTTACCGACAACTGGCCCTTGCAATCTGCTGACCACACCCGTCTGTCTTCTGCATTAAGGTCAATTTGCATGCAATACAGCCTCTGTAGAATCCTTCCAAATGGATCAATCTCCCAACCATTCAATGCTCTTCTGAACGGTGGATTTCAAACATGCACCCCATTTTGAATCTGGAGCAATCAGCCACTTTTGCCTCCTTATCTGCAGCAACTGCAAATAATTCTGGGAAGCCATCCCTTAACTTATTGTTTCCACACCAACAGTCCAGCCAGAATTTGACTCTGGATCCTCTTCCCACTTCAAAATTGATTTCCTTGCTAAAAGAACTGTAACTTTTTTCAATTTGTTTCCAAACCAAACAGCCATATGACTGATTTGCTTCTCCTGGGTCCCATCCCTCATTTCTTGTACCATATTTTGCTTCATATCTAATTTTTTTAAGGGTTAATTACTTAAATATACCCTGCTGTACCCAAAACTACACCTTGTAAGACAGTCCCACATAACACAAATAGGCCTTCTGTCAATGCAACGTTTAAGGCTGTTTCACATGCCCATTAATTCTTTTTTGTGATCAAAGTTTTACCCCTCTATATTATTCATCTCCTTCAAAACCATGAGACCCAAACCCCAGATACAGAACCATTATGACAAAGACAAAGCAGTACATGGGAGAATACCAAGTTGCTTCACATCAATGCCAAAAGAATAATGGCCTTTACTAGTTAAATAATCGTTCTAACCTTATTACCTTCGTAGAGTTCACTTCCGTAAGATCTATTCCGACTCTTTCAAGGGATTGATATTCAGCTAGAGGGTTGGAGTACAACCAAAAAAAAAAATGCTTCCAGTAGGTGAGTAAATAAGTGAGGAGTGAGGTGGGGAAAGGAGAACCCTTGAAGCCAATTATAACATAATGCTGATAAGGTCCTTACAGAGCATTTTGAGTGAAGGGCTGGTGCCTGAATAGATGAAATTTTAAATTTCAAGCTCAAGCAAATTGGGAACCAAAGCCATAGAACGATTTAAGAACTCCATATGGGTTATTATCAAAAAAATTCCATTCAAGGGGAAAGAATGAAAATGAAACTAAGCTCCAATTTTATAAACTTAATGCAAATTAAGCAACCAATCTAAAGACTAAAAAATAGGAGTTTGAAATTATGGTTCTTTTTTTTTATTTCTCCTCAGATGTACGTCCAGAACAGCATCAATGTCATCTTCCAGGGAAAGCTTTTTAGACTCTCTTCGAGCTCTCTTTTCCTCTGCTTTCGCTGTTTTTCTCTCTGTTCTCTCTTTGCCTTTCTCAGGCTTCTTGGTTTTCTTTCCCAATTTTGTTTTTGCTGCTCAAACTATTGGCGACAGGCAGAATGAGCAGATATTTTCTAGCACCGTGGATGCCAATACGTTTTCTGGGAGGGTTTTGAGCTTTTCAGGGCAATAGAATAATTCCTATAGAAATTGAGTTTCAGTTCATCCCATCAACTGTAGTTCCTAGAAATTGAGGCAGAAGTAGAGGTCGAGGAAAAACTTGGTGTTCTTATTTATCAAAAAAAAAAAAAAAAACTTGGTGTTCTTGACACTTAACTCCATTTACATCTCATTCTAGATTTTAGGTATGATGATCTGAAACTGAAGACAGAAACAGGGGATACAAGCTACAAATGGGGTTGAGAGAAAAGAGGGAGAAGGGAGAGGGGGATATGAACCTAAGAATGGGGGGAGGGAGAGAGAGAGAGAGACTGCAATAAGAGCATTTTTGTCTTTTACTTTTCTGTTAATCTTAACGTTAGATTTTTTTAACAAGCTACATATAAATAATTTTGGAAGCCACAGGGTATATTTAAATTTAAGTAAATAACCATTTTTTAAGTGTGCATACCACCAAATGTTTTCAAACCACCGTTGACCTGGACAGTGAAACCGTTCAACCTGTTACCAGAGAAAAAGCCAGATCCGTTTTACCCCAAACCCATTAAAAAAGCATTCATTTGTACAAAAATTGCTGACCCATACAGTAGAACCACCAAACCATCTGGCCCGGTCTACAAGTGATGGTTCATCCAACCAGTCTGTCAAAGGCTTCAAGCTACCAATCAAAGGGTCCAACCAGTCGGACAATCATTTAGTTTTCACAATATATAAAAAAAGAAGGAAAACAAAAATTAAAAAAAAAAAAAAGTTTCTTCACACCAAAAGAGAGAAAGGGGAAAGAGAAAATGATAGAAATAATGATGGCCAATGCAAAGAGGGAGAACACTATGGCGGTCCACAAGGGCAGCAGTTCTATCGGTGCTCTGGGAAGAAAGAAATCTGAGAATATTTGAAGAAAAGAAAAGAAGCAAGGAAGAACTGATAGAAAGTATCATAATGAAGGTGACTTCTTGGGTGAAAACTCTGAATTTATTTTCAGATTTTACAGTGGATGATATAATCAGGAATTGGAGGACAGTTGCTTCCTCTTCATCGGCAAAAAAGAAGATTTTGAAGGAGTGGGAACCCCCTGAACTAGGTTTTCTAAAATTAAACTTTGATGGCAGTAGTTTTGGTAACCCAGGAAGAGCTGGAATTGGAGGGGTGATAAGAAATGGCAGAGGAGTTGTGATGGGATTGTTTTCAGGCTCCATCAGAATGGAAAATTCCACTACAGCTGAACTGAAAGCAGTGGTTTATGGGATACAAGAAGCTAAGGAGATGGAGGTGAGAAAGCTGGTTGTGGAAGGTGATTCCAAAGTGATTATCAGTTGGCTGAAGCAAAATGAATGAATACCCTGGCTATTCAGAAATGACATAAAAAAGATTAAAAGCCGATCCAAGAACATACAATTATCAATTCAGCGGACTCCAAGAGCAGCAAATGGATTTGCAGACCAGCTAGCTAGACAAGGGGTAAATAGGGATCAATGTTTTTGGGCTCAGTTGTAAGAATGAAAAATCACTCTGATAGGTGACATGTTAATTATAATGGGGTCAAGCCGAGGCTACTCGTAATCTGTAATTTCTGTAATTCTGTTTATATTAATGGAATTTCCTTTCACTGATCAAATTAATAACAATAACAATAATGATACAGAGATAAGAGAAGATGAGAGAGAGAGAGACTACCATCAACTGGACTGGACCAATGACCTAAGGCGGCAGAGATGATAACTGGTGAGTCGGTGACCTCCCCTTTCTTTTATTCTTCTTCCTCCACTTCTATTTTCTTTCTTTTTCTCAGCCCCTTTTCTCACTCTCATCTCTAATGATATACATATGTACAATCATCCTCATAACCTAACCTAATATCCTAATCTAATAGCTAGGATCACATACAGACACACGCACTATAAACATTTTGACCATTCAACCAGGACGGTTGAACCACTGACCTGCCACCTAGAGGAAACAACAGTTCAGTTTCAGGTCGGTTTTTCTAGCACTGCATACCACAGACTAACAAAGAAACTATGGGTTCATTTTTTGATCAGCAATAGGATCAAAAAGATACATTAATAAACCTTATCCCATTGAATGGGAAAAGGGACCAACAGCACCTATTGTTGATTATCCCCTTAAAACAAGAATGGAAAATACAAAGTTTACAAATTTATAAGTTCCTTGTCAGAATACTGAGAAAGAGGTTGGTTCAAAAGAAATATTCATATCCTACTGTAAATTAACAATCATTAGAAAACACACATAACCATCACCACTGAAAGATGCAAATGCAAAAGGGAAAATAAAGACATTGGGAATTGTGTTCAGTTATCTAGGATCTAAAGTGATTGGAAGCATATGTTGGTAGAACCCTAAAATGAAGTGCTAATAGCTTGAATTCAGAATAGGTGAGGACCCCATGTTTAGTAGATATGATCAAACAAGATGTAAGTGCCGGTAGACTTTTGTGGTTTTTTGTTGAAAATGTATTCCTTTTTATGAATGTATTGTATTAGAAACTCAGGAGTATTGCATTAGAGAGATTTAAAAGGATGTAATTACCTATCCGCATAAATTAGAGGAAACAACCTCAGGAGTAACTTCAACCGCAACCACATAGAAGCTCGCAATGCTGCAGATGAGGGAAGTGCAGAATCAGTTGGTCCTGTGGATCGCCGACCCAGGCCAGGACTGCCACCCCTTATTCCCTTCCGACTGCTACCTTTGTTTGTACCACCTTCAATCCCAGAAGGAACTGCTCCAGCTTGCTTACCTGTGCCACGGGTAACTGCATTTATTTGCTGCTCAATACCATTCATTTGCTTAATTAGATCACTTGCAAATGCATTGCGGGATTCACTGGAACTCCTATCTATGCAAGGAAGAACCAACTCTACAAGAGATCTCTCAGTCGCATACTGCTGACCGCAGTTGAAGCCTTCAGAATCAAAAGTTTGAGAAGTTAACCTTCCTGACCTTTTAAAATCTACACCTTCTTCCACAACCTCTCCTTCTTCAAGAGAGGCCACTTCAAACTTCTTTTTCTCTCCTCTGATCACTGCTAGATCAGCAGCTGAATGTGGCCATCCCCATGGCTTCCAAAATTGAATTTTAGTTGAAAGACCTCTTATTTGAGCAATATTAACGAGGCGTTGTCTGATGGACTTACGTCCAAAAAGGACATCATTGCCACCCAAGAACCATTTAGTTTGTAAGAGCAGTGATTCCTCTAATGATTTCCCAAGCAAATGTACCACCTCTGAATAAAGGGGAGAAGCATCAGGTCTGACCAGTAATCTTGTGAGGATGATTTCATTGAAATTGCTCTCATTCTCAGAAAGAACAGAATTGTCAGCACTAGGTGAAAGAGAACGAATAGCCTCTGCCAATGACATATTATGCGTATCAATTTTTTCAATGAGAGCTTGTTCATTCAAGAGAAACCTGAGTTCTACCCATTGCCAATGAAACTTTGCCGGTTGAAGGGTATCCAATACATGCAAAAGCTGATCCTGAAGTTTCGTCTCACTTTCTGCACGTTGCACTTTCAACTCACCATGCCCAGAGACCCTAGTTCCATCATCGTGTGAACTCATAGAGTGTGGCAATTTACAATCAAGGATTGCATTAAGGAAAAGTCTAGCACGGAGAGGAACAAATGCCATGGTTTTCATATGCTTGTCTGTGCCATGCATTTCTAGCATGGCTGCAAACTCAGAGTCACCAACATCTGAAGCTAGGATGTCATAAAAAGCATGAGTATCCCGTAAGCAAACATCCCGAAATGGCTGGTGCCTTATGACATCATTTATGGTCGATGCCAATGACTGATGCAATTGAACATCTTCACGAATTACAATATTACTATTGAGAATGTACGGCCTCCATATCACCAAAGCAAAGATTGAATAGGCAGGAGGCAAAACCAAACTAAGAGGAAGCATTCTCTGCATCCTTGAAAGAGCTAAGATATATGGTTCACCAAGAAGTTCCACAACTAGTCCATCTGAAACCATTCTACAATTCCCCACAAGCAGCCTAAACCAGTGCAAATATACTTCAATCAAATTGTCCACCTTCAAAGCACCAATTGAACGAGAAATCCCATTAGAACTGGTTCTTGCACTCCTCACAAATTGGATAATGTCCAATCCTTCCTTTAATCTTAAGACAGATATCATCCGCTCCAGGCTAGCAGCTCCATGAACAACAGCACCAACCACTAGTGAAGATACAGCTGCTGCAGCTTTTGTGGCCCTCCCAAGAAATACTTTTGCAGTATTCAGCATCTCATTTGACAGACTTGAGTTTGAATCATGGGCTTCAGGTGATAGTTGAAACTGACTACGAGAGCCTTTTCCTGGAGCAAGGGCTGTGGCAACAGCCGAAGAAGCTTCTGTTGCAAGTGCTATCTCAAATACACGGCTCTGGCGCTCCCCAAGGGCTTCCTTAAGTAAGCAGAGGCAGGCAATGTGAATATGTACAATGCGCCGAGCACAATTCAATGAATTTATAGGGGATGGGAAATTTGGGTAATTACTACTTGTAGTGAAATCTGGCATTTTCACTAGAGCAGAAACTACATTACCAACAATAGCAGAAACAGCAGAGGCCACTACAAAGGGATCCACTTCTTGGGGTGCATTATTGTTCTGCCTAATGCATTCCATTAGTCCCAAAACTATTTGTTGAGCCATCTGATATCCATCATCACATTTTTCCAAGGATGGACCTTTAGGAGCACCTGCTGTAAATAGTTTTCTTTCTTTGCTATAGAAATAGTGCATGGCTTCGTCAATGTGCTTTTGCACTATCTCCTTCATGCCCGGGGTTGGCCTAGACAACCTGCCACTTATCTTCTGACGGAAGTAATCATCAAGATCTTCCACCCCAGCTGGAACTGCAAGTGGAAAACCAAACTCACCATCCAGTGCTCGTCCAGATTCAAGTTCTGCAAGGAGTCTCTGATCAGATGTTGCCCTGAAATTTTTCTCCCATTTTGCCACACTAGGCACATTGCAATATTTCTTTAACAAGTTTCGAGCATAAACAAAAGCTGCTGAACCAGAAGCCCTTCCATTAGTGGTCATGACTGTGGCAGCTCGATGCATTGTAGCAGAAAGGGTTTCATGAAGAAGATCTGCTGCTACAATTATGTTCTCATACCTGAGGAAAAGAAGTGAAAAAAGAAGGAAATTGATTCCTAGTAGCATACAAGTATGAACCTACATATCAATTTACATATAAGAAATATCCAAAAATGGAACAGTGCAATACGAAGATTAACAGATGGAACTGGTTTAATCTTTTTTAGACTGGACATAATTATTCTTCAGGCCATAATGCAACAAGCGGTGATGGTTTTGCTTATCAGATGGGGTCAAAGTGTGAGAATGGTCCACGTAAATTGGCTCATTACCAAAATGAGATGAGAGAAACAACAAGAAGTAGAACAGTACAGATAAGGTGGATTACAAAATAGTTGAATCCAATGGCAGATCATCTTGCCAGATCTGGGGGGAGGGTTTTGTTTTTGTAGGGTGTCATCTCTTTACTTGACTAGCCTTTTCCATTTCACTGTCAACAATAATATCTGTTAAATTGTGAGTCCCAAGGTTTTTTTTCCTTTTGATTGGTGAGGTTCCCCAGGTTTTTCATCACTACTTTAATCTACATTGTTCATCCTCCCACTGTCTTTTAGGGCCCTTTCATTCATATCTTCAAAAAAAAATACAATGTAACAGGAGAAGTCTACATTACCATCTTCATTTTGACACCCCCCACTCCCAAATGCACAAGGATAAAAAATTAGGTGTTAAAACATAAATGTCCCGAAAAGCAAATCAAAACCAAAAGATCAACTGTCCTCGAGCAAATTCAATGTGAGTAAAGAATATGTATCAAGTCAGAAGAATACCATTAAATACCTTAACATTATGAAGAAGATTTTGTTCTTCACAGAATCATGGTAGCAATAGACAAAAGATACATATTAAGGCCATAATGGGAGGATAACCATGCAATATATAGGAAGAAAAGGCTGGGGAGAGAGAGAGAGGCAGAAAATCAACCAATCCTGCATTATAAAATACAACTGCTTAATTATAAAGTATTAAAGCAAGCATCTTTTGCAAGTGTACCTCCTAATGGATGACAATAGAAATGCTTCCCCCACTTCACATGAATAGCATTCTGTGTTCTTTGGTAGCATCAAAATGCTTCTCCCACTGTGAATATTAGAATTTGTAGTAGATGGAATCTTGGGTAATAACCACAGCAGGAATTTCACAGCTGAAACTAGGTCAAATGAAATATCCATCAAATATAATATAGCAGATAACTCATCTTCAGTGAGCTTCCACCGTACAGAATTCTTGTCATCAATGGAAGAAGGCAAAGGCCCAGTACACTGGCCAACCTTGGAAATAGACTTTTCAAACCCTTCAATAAGCTGCCTAACAGAAGTAATCAACCACACTGTGATAGCCCTTTTCTCAAGCAACCGTAGCTGTTTCAAAGCTTTACCAATTGAAACAACATCACCAAGATGTGCAGTTCTCATGCCATCTGATGGCTTAGAAACATCTCCTTCTGTACCAGTTCTATGATGAGGACAGCTTATTTTATTATCACATACATGACTAGTTGATGCCCCTTGGCTACCCTCAATCCTAGCAGCTGCCAGTTGAGCCAGGCTTTGGGTTTTGCGCACAATTTTTTGCCGACCTCTAGATGCATGTTTGGTTGACTTAAGAGGTGGATCAACTTTAAATGACTCCATGGATTTGGGACCCTTCCTCACCCACCAGCTATCCTCATCATCTGATGGATTTTGTAAAAACCCATGCGTATATGAGCTCCTGTCCTCACTTAATTTCTGCTTCTTTGACCTCCTGCATTCTTCACACCCAGGTGTTCCTTCTGTAACATCCATTTTGTTACTAATTGGCCCAATGGACCTCTTGCAGCTCCATTGAGATTCATCAGATCGTGTATCTGAGGCTGCAGAATAAGAGCTTGGAAGATGCAATAACATTGAAATGGCAGCCTTCACTTCTGAAACTTGGACCTTCATTTTTGCATCTCTGCCAGACAACGGATTGGATGCTGAGCGAAGGTTTTTCAAGTGTTCAAGGGAAGGAGAAGCTGCATTTCGTCCAGAACTTGGATTATCTTTTTGTTTTGGGGAAAAGAAACTTACATCATTCCCATTTTTGGAGTGGCTTGTATGATCACCAAGAAGTCCAAGAAGCAGAAGCCGGCGTTCATTGGCATAAACATGCAGGGCCTCCTCTAGAACTGGAACATCAGCAATCTGAGCCTCTTCCAAAGAATCAAGCATGTAAGCCCCAGGCAGCTGCTTCAAAACATGATAGTGTCTCTTTCGTCTATCCAAATCCACCAGAGTCTCACTCCTGTCCATAATGCCACTGACTATGAGCTGCCTCACATAGGCTGGAGGATAAAAAATGCCAGAACGAATAAGTTCAATGATGAGAAGCTGAAGGCGTTTGAAACCTTCACCTTTGCCCACATCATGTTGATCTATCCAACAAACTATAATATCATGCACAGGCCCTGGGCTTTGAAAAATGTCCGATGAATCTATTCTTCCACCCAAACTCTTTGATTTATTTTTGGATACAAATACATTTTCTCCAGTTGTCCCACCTGAAAAGATACCGGCTCCCAATGTACTTCCATTCTTGCTCTGAATTGAATTACACATATCTTCCATCTTCATCTTCAAAAGCAGAACTGCAATGTACACCTGAGAAAAATCTTTTCTGCCCGTGAACTTCAGGTCAAGAGGCAACGAAGTCCGACAATCTCTAAAATCACACGTTGCCCACTCAAAAAGGAAAAACAGAGAGCAGATAAATGAAAAGCTGACCATCCCCATCCACTTCATAGATGAATATAGGCATGGGCTGACTTCTGCAATCCAAACTTCTTCAATGTTTCCATCACAGAGATTCTCAAAGAGAAAATTGTAAGCACCTCTCAGATCTCCCAGTGTTAAAGCTTTATCCAAGGCCTGTACAGCTTTAGCCACACCATGGCCTTGAAGACCAGGACTAACCGCCTTCCCAAGATTATCAGCACGTTTCTGAATAGATGAAACAAGATAGTCAAAGGACAAGAACTGATTATGAGCATCTTGCCTTCTGTCACCATACATGGTAATAAGTTCTCCCGGACCATAATGAGTCTTCTCTGAATCCTCAGATGCCTTTGAGAAGAAAGATCTCCCATTTGTCACACCCGATATTACAGATGGTGCCAATGGAAAGCATTCCAAAGCAACAAAAGTATCAGGTACAGCAACTATCAAGTACCGGAGCATCTCAATTACAGCAGAGGCAGTATAGGCCCTCCGAGAATTATCTACTAGATCAGAACCACCACTAGAAGGTTCTTGTATGGAACGAACAGCTACTTCCACAAGATTACGGACGTATGTCTGTGATAGTACAATTGTTTCTATCATGGCATATATAATAGGCAACAGTAACTGTAAAGTTTCAAGTGATTCTTTGTCCTGAAAGTCAACATAAATATGAATATTAAAGCCCAATTATTAAATTGTCATTAATGAACTGACTAAGAGCTACTTGTCAAGTTATTCCTAAACAAAAGATAAGAGTTACAGGTCACAAAATTCAAAAGAAATGGTTCTATTTTACCCAGGCAAGATAGAAAGATGAATAACCTGCAATTGACTGAGAACCCACTCAATAATGTGAGAAGGAAGAACCAACCCTTCTGCATGATGCCATTGCAAGATGCGCACCATATACCACCATTTAAAATGCAAGGAAGGTTCCTCGTCATCTGTAAGGGTGGGTGTTGAATCACCCTTGTGAACAGACCCAGCCAAAAGCATTTGCGGAGATTGATCCCTGCCAAGAGAGCCATCCTTCGAGATGTATTCATCCAGTAGGTACTGCAAGTATTCAATTATGTCCTTTGTCCAGAGATCACTGCGATTTAATTGTGTTTTATCTGTTGCACCAGAAGAAACGTTTGCAGAAACAGGTCGGACCTGAACAGCAACTACCTTGATAAGCAAATCTAACATATTAAAAGCAAATGCTTGTTTAAGTCAGAGAAAGCCAAGTTTTAGATCATTTTTTACCTGATTTAGGTATGTTACTTTGATAAACCAAGTTGCTCTCAATAATGGAACATTATGCCTGATAAGGACTTCAAAAAGAGCTTTCCTCCTAAAACCATGAGGGACATGGTCAGCCAAAGCACGCAAGCGTTTATGTTGTTGGGATAGACCCTGCACAAAGAACAGTGATTATTCAGCAATTTAACATTAGAAAACACTTCAGCAAAACAGAAAGGTAAATAGATGGAACATTAGGTGATTGAAGACACTAACCACAGAGCAAGGGAAAATAAACGTTCTGCTCTAGAATGCTATTCAAATCAAAGGACCAAAGGAAATATTATAGGCACGCACACTCATATTAATGATTGATAGGAAAATCTGCTCAAATAAAGAACCCATACATGAAAAATGGACTGCAGCTGAAAAGAAAAACAATGTAGACAAGGGCACCACTGGGTGCATATGGGAAATGTAAATGTCATCAGAGCACAAACACTAAAAGCATTTCATAATGTAAGCTTCCAAGTTGCAACTATAGAAATTTTGAAGACAGTAATAATATGGATTTCTGAATGCACATGTAATAACAAGCATAAAGTCAATACCTAGGATGGCCTGTGGTTATTCATCTGGGAGTAGTTTATGGGGGCGGAAGTGCTGCTATTAACAATATAGAATCACCCTCCATTCTTGAGAGCTCTGACAGGTAGATATGGAAGTGGGAGCAATGAAGTCTTCAATGTTAAGGTAGTGGAACACTTAAAATAAGTACTTTTAAGACATAGGACCACACATTAAGTGGTTTTTAAGTACTTATGAATGTTTGGTGAAAAAGTGGGAAAGAAGTACTTCTTTGAAAAAGTGACTTCAAGTTGGCTTTTTTTTAAGTACTTCTTGAAGAAGTACTCCAAAAAAATGGGACGAACCAGTCCCTATTATTTTCTTTTAATACCCAAAATACCCCCGCATGAGGGTATTTTTTTGACATTGTTTATGCGCCATTTTCTCTATTTTTTAAGCCCACCGTTGCAGGTTGGGAGATCTCGGTTTCAGATTGAAGCTACTGTTGATCGTCTCTTACCTTGAGACAAATAACAAAGTAGATTGAGCGGAGAAGATTGAAAAAATCAATTCCTGCTTTCTGGCTTAGACCGAGCAGCAGATTCTCAATTCTTGAGCATGTGCTTATGCCGTCAATCTCGGGAATTTTCATCAGTGTCCAGAACCTTTTTCGGAAAAACGGAGAAAAGGTCGAAGAAGAACCGAAAGAGTCAAAAGGAGCGTTCAAAGAAGGAGAAACAAGGGTGTAGCAGCTGCATTGCCAGAGCCATATAATTGCGAGTGTGGCCTCAACGAATCAGTGTTATCAAGATAATGAAATTTTGGGCCCGAATTCAAACTTAAAACGGTAGGGGGCCGTGGTGGTGGAGAAGCGAAGGCAGTGACATCAGAAGAAGTTGTGGGATTGACGGAGACAACGCTTGTTGGTGGATTAGTAGTGTTGAAGGGCCGAGCAAGGAAGTCTTGAAAAATCATACCACGGAAGTTGGTAGTATCAGTGTTGGAGACTTTGGGAAGGGTTGATTCTCTGGTGCCGGTGGCAGCTGCAGCTGCAGGGTGGTCATTGAGAGAAGTGAGGTTGATGTCTTTCCATACTTCTTCCATGGTTCTCGTTCTCCTCGTAGGGGTTGGGAGGTGGGTTGAAGGTGAAAAGGGGGAGAGAGATGAAGACGAAGATGACGATTTTGAGGACAAAGAAGAAACTCTATTGCTGTATTTACTATTGAGATTTCTGGTGTCTTCGCCACCTGACGATGATGACTGCCTGGTGACGGTGATGGCGGAAAGAAGAAAGGAGAGAGATGAAAAAAGAGTGATTGAATGAGTAATGGTAAAGGAAAAGAGTGGAAGGTGATTGTATTTATATAGAGCATATATAGATGATGATGGATCAGTTCATCAGTCTGAAATTGCAATTGTAAAATGGAAAGAGTTATAGATTGTGCCTGTGTATGTGACTGTTACTAGCGACTTTTCTTTTTTTTTACTGTGCCCGTGTAAAATGGTATTGTCGAACTCCAGGTAATTAAAACATAAAATTAATCGAGCTCCAATTCAAAGAAGATATTTTTGCAGAGGAAGAAGAAGAACAGGAGGAGATGTATCAGATTATCAAGATTCAATTAGTTTTTTGATACAGAGATGAAAATGATACACCCAGAAATCCAAAGAAGAGGAAAAACTATTCTATTATCGAAAGCAGATGAAAAAAAGGGGATGAAATACTGGTACCCAGAAAGAGAAACTGGAATTGAAGCTCGGAAAACTTCAATTGAAACCGAGAAACAGGGAAAGAAGATACCCCAGAAAAATTCAAAAAAGTGGGTAAATTAGTGACAAATATGAGCGGTTTCTGATGAAGAAATGTATCATTCTTCTTGGGTTTTTTTTAACTTGAAACTCCCCTGTTTTTTCTTCATTTTTGTATATTTTTTTACATTGTTTGAATTATTTTTTATGCAAATAATGATGTTGAAAATGAGTGAAGTGAGGGTTAAAATTGCCATTTGTGTCAATATAAGCACTTATGGGGAAAGTAGCTTACCAAACATTCTCACCCCAATAAGTGCTTAAAAACATAATAAGTGATTTAAAAAGTGGGTTACCAAACAGCCTTAAGTGGTTGCTAAAATAAGTACTTCTAAGAAGTACTTGTGAAACAAGTATGTTTTTTAACAAGTACTTAATCATCAAACAGGGCCTAAGTCTTGTGCAAGGTCATTGTATTGGAATGTAACATACATTCCTTCGCAAGATGATTTGGGCGTATGAGGTGCCTTCTAAGATGGCTTTCCTATTCTGGACTATTGAGCTTGGCAAATCACAGATGTCCTACCAAAGAGAAATATGTGCAAAAGAGGCATGACCTTATTGGATGTGGGCTGTATCTTTTGTAACCAGGTTGTGGAGTCTGCCAATCGCCTGTTTATTAATTGTGTCAGCCCACCAGGAAACTCTCTGGGCTTTTTATTTGAAGATTATTAATTTTAGTTGGGCTTGCCCACAGTCTCTGATAAAGCTGCTCCAAGGATGGAAGGTTAAGAGGCTCAGTAGAAGAGGGAAGAAGGAAGACCCCTGCTGCCATCTGTTGGAGAGATTGGAAGAAGAGGAATAGCATGGTGTTTAAGGACTAAGCAGATCAAGAGAATGAGATCCTTAGAAGCATTTCAACCACAATCATTTTTGTTGGATAGTTCAGCATTTTTCTTTTGATTATTTGTTTTCTGTTGATTTTCTTTGTATCTATTGCCGAGCAGTTTCCATTTGTTTTTTGAGCTTGCTTTCCCAGCCATATAGATTTCTTGTACAGGATCTACTTAGCTTATCTCATTCTAAACTCTTCACTGATCTGATTCTTCTAAAAAAAGGAAGGGGGAGAAAAGACTGAGGAGAATAACAATCCAATAAAGCTAATTTTCTCCAACCCAACTTGTAAAGGAGAAGTTCAGAGAACTAAAAGAGGTGAGAGCAGAAACATTACTTGCAAGTACCAATGTGCGACACATGCAGACTGTAAAGTTAGTACAATCCTAGAGGTTAGTTAAAGAATAGGTCAGCATCCTGTAAAGAAAAAAAAAAAAAAACAGCACCCAACAACACATGTTTTTCATTGGTAACTGGGCAGAGGTTTAGAGAAAGTTATGTATGAAAATGCAATATGAGCATAGGCATATAATACCCCTCAAAGTATACAGGACATGATTTTTCTTTTTTTTTATCAATATAATATATACAGGACATGATTTACCATAACAAGGAACATATATAACAGTTACAGCACAAATTTTACTGGCAACTTGCAAGTACAAATGAATGTTACATGAAGACTATAAAGTAGATACAAAAGCACATAAGGATGCATAACTGAATCAATTCCCAGAGGTAGTTAAAGAAGAGATATCCTGTAATGATCCAAAATCTGTGATATTGCAAAATATGATTTCATTACAAAATAGAATAAACTTTCTTTTCTTAGTTGTAAGGCAAGTTAATCATAACCTATGAAATGCAGGCAATGACAAAGGCATGCTACAGAAAAGATGGGAAACAGAAATTACACTAAAATAATAGACTCGACAATTTTGGTGCCCATTCATCATAGATTATGGCAGTTAGGAATGTATCTAGTCAAAGCACATGCTATCAAAGTAAAATAGGAGAGTCCACTAAACATGTTGATGCAAGTAAGACGCATGTTAAAGATGTTTAGTAGTGTAACATAAAGGAAAAATCAAGTACTTCAATCCATTTCTTTCGGGAGTCTTCACCACACGCCCTTTGCTCAGGAAAGACACCCGGCTTAAGTAAAAGTGAACCAGAGAGAGGCACTCCATAAACCTGACCAGCCTATTGCAATAACAGGAAGAAATATCCAGTTTCAGATTACATTGTGCTAAGATTCAGAAATAAAATGGAAGGGAGAGTGATTTATTAAGATACATAGTACAATGTAAATAAGCACCAAAACGTGTGTACACATGTGCACCATAGCAGAAAAAGGTGAACAACAGTTGATGAGATGCACATGACTATTCAAAGCCAAACACTAATTGAGATAAGGGACGTTTCCATAAATTACCTTAGACTGTTTGATTTATAGGAAGGGAAGGGGAAATATAAGTATTTCTTTATTATTCCCTTTCCACATTTGGTTTGTGGGATATTATGAGATGGAATGAGAAAAGGCAGGGATTGCAGTTCTAAATTTTTGGGAAGTGGGGTCATACCATATTGGTGTATAAAGTGGAAAAGGAGAAGTCTTCTCTGGCACTTCTCTGCCATTAAAAAAAAAAAGCACCATTTATGTAATATTTTAAAACTGACCCAAAATGGAACCACCTTTCCATCTAAGAGACATGTCAGTTGTTCAACTGTTCAGGTCAAACAGGACAACATGTGATTTCTTAATTAAGTTGTAAGAACATAATAAATAGACAAAAATACAGAAATTTTGTAGAAAAATCGGCATCTCTAATCTTTTGTATTCACCATATTAAACAGAAACAAGTGTGATAAATAAGAATCATTTTTTATTAATGATGAAATTGGACAAAAATACAGAGAGAGAGAGAGAGAATCAATATCTAACCCATGATCCACTGGCTGGGTGAAACAGTTCAGTAGTTCAGCTGTCTGGGTTAAATGGAGTAGCCCATATCATAATTAAGTAACAAAAATATAATAAATGGATAAAATTACAAAAATAAAGAAAATATATACAATTTTAAGGAAAATCGGGCATATTTCCAATACTATATAATAATCATAATAAATAAAAAAGTAGTGACAAATACGAATTACTTTTTATCAATAATAAAAATGGCCAAAATATCTGACCTGTGAGTTGCTGGCCGGGTCAAATGATTCAGTGGCTCAGCCTTCCAGGTCAAATGGGTTAACCCATGATGTCATAAGTAATTAAATGTAACAAATAGATAAATTTACAAAATAGAAAATACAAAAAAATGCAGAAAAAATTGGCATATCTACAATATTATATATTCATCATTTTAAAGTTTAAACAAAAAATAAGTGTGATAAATAAGGATTATTTATTATAAATGACAAAAGTGGTTCAAAATACAAAAAAAAAACAGGAAAAGAGAACTAATATAGGAACCGTGACCTGCTGACCAGATAAAACAGTTTTAACGGGTCAAGCAGTGGGGTCATTAGGTCATCAACAGAGTCAACAGTCTTTTGCAAACAAGTGGTTTGGTGGTGAAAAGGAACCCAAATTCTTGGCCAGGTGATAGGCTAACCAGTCTGACCAACCAATTCAACCACAGGTTGGAAACACTGTTTCTTTGTTACTAGGGCTGACATTCCCACTGTCTTCCCTTTTGTAACAAAACAATGGAACGTGAAATTCCTGCACCCAGTTTCCCTTTCTCATCCCATACCATCCCCATCTTTTCTCATCCCACCAAAATCTTCCTACAAACCAAGTGTAGCCTTATGAATTTATCTATTTAAAGAGAGAGTAAAAACAATCACCTTGCGCTTTTGGGCACGAGAATCATTAATAGCCCTAAGGCGTTTCCTGATTGCCTGGAAGAACCAACAGGGAAAAAGAGTGAAGGACTAATGCATATGTAAGTATTTACATGCTAAAGGTATCCACATCTTTGTTCAAAGTTAGAATCACAGATTTCATATGCCATGCATGAAAGCCTTAAAGCCTTTTAGAATCACATAAATCTTATTTAGTTTAAGTAAGCATTTATATAATGTACAACAAAACAAGATTTTAAAACAAAAATACAGAGAATAGAGTTTCTATTTTGAAGAAGGTAAAATAAATTTGTATTAGAGACTATTTCAAAAGGCATACCAGTATAACTTGCCCACATACAGAATCTATACAAGTAAGAGCACCCAAAAAGAAGTAAAACAACTCAAACAGGCAATAATCAATGGTAGTAAAATTCCAAACATCATGATAACCAAAAGAAAGAAACTAAAAAGAGGGAATATAGTTCAACTAGTCAATTAAAAAAATCTTGGCATGCTAGAACTTCACATTATACAGTTATATGTAACTTAAACAAAAAACAAAAATACAACATACAAGAAAATAATTAAATGAAAACATAGCGCAAAGCATAGACCATCTAAGAGAAAAACGGAACATTCACATTTAATTTAAGCATCTAGCCTTAGTAACTAAGTCAAATAAAATATTACCTCTTTGCATTTTATGATTACAGGCTTTGTAAAAGTAGTAAGTTGAGATAGTATAAGCTCTCTAGCTTCCTGATACAATTAACAAGCAAACATAAGTTAAAATTGCAAGAATTAAAATATCAGGGAAATCATACTCACCCATTGAATGCATGCATTTTGTAAAGAGAAATTGTCCAATATGAGAACTTCAACTAGTTATATTCATAAACAGTCAAATGAATATCAAGTAGCAGTATGCTAAGACATGCATAAACATCAAGGTGCAATACATAAAACAGTCAAAACTTTTTTGACAAGAAATCCAAGCAATTAGACATTTATTGATTTACTATTACCAATATAATTAAAGCATCGACAAGAATTAGACATTTATTTATTTACTATTACCAATATAATTAAAGTGTCGACAAGTTATCAAGTAATCGACTAACTAGTTGAAGGTCAGCACAAAGAATCACGATTTTCACTAGCAAAATTCCTGCAAAATACACAAGCAAGCATGAACCACCTCCCCCCCAAAAAAAATAAATAAATAAATAAATCCTGATTTGATAAGGAATGTTTAAGAGTTATTAGCATATATTTCCTAAAGAAGCTGAATAGGTTATCATGACATTGCTCCATGTCCTTATTCCCAAGTTTGGAACAACTAATTTCAAGTTCTTGCTTCTATGATGGAGACCATAAAAGAAAAAAGATCAGAACTTAGGAAATGATTACCAGATTGCTAAGAAGTTACATGCATGTTGACATTATTAGCATCCTTTGATACTCTACCTCAAAAGAATTTAAAGTTGATAATAACGCACAAGGCTCAGTTTTGCTCTTAGATTTTTTATCATTTTGGCATGTATATTTTTTTCTATAAAGTGAACATTTTTTCCTGATTATCAACATCAAAGCATAATTTTATTACAAATGATGAAAAACAACAAACTGTACAAGGTGTAATGAACAAGCAAAACAGAAATAGCTAAAAGCTGACACGCTTATCTCCACCAGCTACCCAAAATTCATTACAATGGTCTCCCTAGTCCAAGTTCACCCGAACATAAGTTTTCCGGAGAAATTCCATCACCATCAAGTGAATCAGCAATGGTATTTACATATCTGCAAATCCACCTGCAAAAGTGGCTCACACTGATTCCCAAAGTTTGTTTCTGTCTAACCAGAAACCTCAAAACCCATGGCACATCACCTCCAGATTTCATCCAATTTATAACTAATCCCCCTCCATGCGTATTCCAGTTCAGCCCACTGACACTACAATTCTTAGACCTTGTAGTGTAGCTGGCCCTTCTGCCCTAAAGGAATTTCCAATAGAGCCAGGTCACAGAAACATAGAATAACGTATCCTTTGTCATCTCTGGTTATGCCTGACATGCCCTATCCCCTGCCCCTATCCCTATGCCTGACATACCTGGATTACCCAGGCATTACCCATCGAATTTAAATTTTAACTTTCCAAATTTAGTGTGTATCCCATGTTTCCATCACTTGTTCTATACAAGGTACATTATCAATACAATGATGTTTTTTTATCAACAAATAAAAATAAAGGATAATAAACAAGTTATAGATATCTTTACCCAAGAAATCCAGAATTTAACTTCATTAGAACTTGATGGAAGACGTACTAAACAACCCAAGATCATGTTAACTATAAAAGTAAACCCAAAAAAGTTGCAACATATTCTCTAAAATTATAGAAATAAAAATAAAAATTAAGAGTAGCACTATGCTAATGACAATTCAAGGAGATGGAAAGCTATGTGTGGAAATGACCACATTATGATTTGGAGTCGCCAGCAAATAAGATGGACATCTGAGCTCCTTATTCAAGTTTCCTCAATCCAAAAAAGATTACTTGCTTACTTCATACTTCATAGCAAAAGAATTGATTAAACCTTCATCACCCACTAAGCCTCCTAGGCCCCAAACCCCATGCCCACAAAAAATCAAATAATAAATAGAAGGGAAAAAAAAATTATGGATTACAACGAGTAAATAACAGCCTTACTTCTTCTGAAACTATCCAAAGGCCCAAAGTGCCATTCAGAATAAGACCATTCCCTCTCTCTCCTTCTATGTAACTGGAAAATACGCCAGAAGGGGTGTATTGGTATCGATACTTTGTACCTAAGTCAAGTCTTTATTTTAGTTTTTTTTTTTCAAAAACTAGGTTAGGGTAAGTCTTAGGCCTGCCTACCCCCTGAAATGGGAAAAACTTCAGCTGTTGGGGGCCAACAGCCTATGCTATTGAGAGAATTTCTGGAAATGCCATGTTACCATGAGAATGGGTAAATTAGTAATTACATCTTAATTTATTTTGACTAAAAACCAAAGCATGGGCGTGAATTGGTGAACTGCCCAGAACGTGCCCAACCCAGAAACTGTCTCAACAGCCTATGCTGTTGGGCCCCAACAGCCAAAGTTAACCCCCTGAAATGGGTCAAAAGACCAGTTTGCTTTGTCTTTCGAGTACCAGATATATCGAAATTTTGAACCTTGTGTATATTTTGACTAACAAAGAAATATAATCAGAATTAAGAAATGGTGCATAATGCTCCCCTCCCTTGTTCAGAGAAAGCAAAATCTGTAATGGTAAAATGTTTCTGTAGTTGATGTGATTAGGTTTGGTTGTTTGGCCAGCTTAATGGACCATGTAACAGTAACCATAGAACGAGTAGCACACCCCCTCCCTACACCCTAGATGGCTAGATTAGAACCAACACAATGGTTTAAGTATGTGTTATATAAACTGATTTAAATACAACCAAATACACAAGGAAATAGGGAAATGAAATTGAAACGATAACAAAAAGTAGCCATAAATGTGATAACTGATTTACAAAAGTACCTCAAGTCCTTCAATAGTTTCCTTGTATCCAGATTGCACATATTCCCTAGTCAGTGTCTCCTCTGGGCAGTTTGGAGATTGGGGATAAAAGTCAGGTGGCCCAAGTCTACAAAGAAAAATTAGAGAAAATTATAATGTATGTAACAAATGAATGTTTCTGACCACAAACTCAAAGAATTATATATAGATGTAATAGATGAAGGTAAGAAAACCAAGACCACCAATTTACCTGCAATTCAGGGGTTCCTTGTCACACTTCAGCTTGTAAGGATTTAGCTGTAATGGACGCCTGCAAGACAATCATCTTAAGACATGGCACCCACAAAACACTGAGGGCAAACCTTAAAAATGAAAATCTAACAGGACCAGCAGAAAGCTATTCAGAAACTTACATAAACAAAGCAAAAAATAATAAGAAGAAACAAAAAAAAAAGAAACTGATAAATTTGTATATTAAATTATTAATAACCATTTATCGAGGTAAAAACAATATAGCCAAYGTCTAACCAGCAACAAGAGTTCCCTACTTCCCTTCAGGTAAAAAAGACTATGCCTCAGATAATTGTTTTTCATCAATCCTCAGATAATCGTCGGATGACTGGTTAATTAAAATTCTGCTCCAAAGAATCTTCATTTGAACAATGACTTTTGAGTAGAAAACGATTCTTTTTTTAATCTAAATCTTTCTTTTTTGAAAAGTAAAAGATCAGTTTTATTAAGAACAGTAGAACAGAAAAAGTACAAATGTCCAAGGGTAAGTGTGTCAACTAGCCCATTACAAACAAGCCCAGTACAAATGATCCCTATGCACCCCTTGTAGCTAGAGCATCTTCCAACCCATTAGAAAACATCCTTTTCCTTTGAATTCATGTATTCATACCACTAGTTAGACACTCTACCCTCTTCATCTCCTCTCCAGAAGCCCATCTTACCGACTCCATATCCTTTAGCCAACCAATCACCACATTAGAATCTCCCTCAATGATTAAGTTCTCGAAGTTCAATCGTCTCAGTTGAAGCTACATCCTGTAGCTCCAAAGAACCAATTCCTAGAATGAGTTTTGAGCCCAAAAAAGGAAATGGTACACGTTTGGAACAGGTACATTGAAGTAAATAATTATTACTTAAAATGTTTAAATCCACCTAATTCTCAATAACACATATTGGTGACCTTGAAAATCAATACATATCGTACAATATGCACCGATACATTGTGATATTTTGAACCTTGCATCCAAACTTTAAAATGATTCTTAGAATCAGAAAATTCTTCAGAATCATACCAAATGCAGATTTAGTCACTTCATTTGAGAGGCGTGAACCTTTGTCTAGAAAGTGGTAACCACATTAAAAAGAGATCAAAAAAGGACCACATGAAAGAATATCCTTACATAGGATATTAGGATATAGAAGAAACAGTTCAACCCTTGCTAAGACTAAGAGTACTGAGTGATCAACTGAGCTATATGTTCTCTGACTTCATTAAGAAACTGAGCACATCTCCAGGGGTCACTTCCAGCTTTGTTCCTTCTCAACCTCATGAAGTATTCTCTTGCTGGTCATCAATTCCAGGTGGAAAGAAGACTAACATTTTATGAAGCATTCTTCCATTTGCTGTTTGTTGGAGCATTTGGAGGGCAACAAATAGGTGGACTTTTGTAGAAAAGTTTAAAACTTCCAAAGGCTGGTGGCAATAGTTGTTCTTTGTTCATTGGACTGGTCCAAAGCAATTCAAGACTATCAAAACATGGAAAAAAAAAGCAATTCAATACTTCAATGAAGTGGTTTACCAAAAAAGGACTTCAAGTGGACACCTTCTTTGGAATATCAGAAGCTTAGTCACACCCCATAGAGTATGGGATCCATGTAAGAGCTGAATTGTTAGCAATCCTACAAGGACCAAGGTTGGGAAGATCTGTAAATTTTAGAAAGATAACAATGGAGAGGGATTCTCTGGTGGTTGTGGGCAGGTTTTCATGGGTTCAAGTAGGGCTGTTCATAAGAATGTCCAAACCGACCAACCCGGACCGACCCAACCCGAGTCGGCCGGGTTTTCATCAGTATCGGTCGGTTTCGGGTTGGGAAAATATATAAACCGATATATCGGGTCGTTTCGGTTTTCTTGTGTGAAAACCGAAACCAACCCGACCCAAACCGAACTAGTCTTCTACTAGTTCGGCAGTTCCTAGTTTGAGTAGTTTCCTACTTAACTATAACTAGTCTTCTACTAGAACTAGAAGGCCCATTAGGCAATTACAATTAGAATAGGCAATCTATCCTAGTTTCTAACTTTCTATAATCTTTTAC